AGCCGTTTCTTGAGCAATTTTTAGACCGACACGGGGTGAAATCGTTTTTTTCAAAAAAATCCAGATTTTTTACGTAGATCGAAAAACCGACCCCAGTACGTTCATAAACTCATCTAATAGTGTCTACAGACCAAAAATGAAGGACTTTTATTTTTTGACTGTGGCCGCCCCGTGCTCGATATTTCTGGACAGTCGCTCTTAAGCATTTAAAATTACATATGAGCTCTTAAGCATTTAAAATTACATATGAAGGTGTACGGTGATTTAGGTGTCTCGCTGGACGTTTGTTTGGATCATAATAAATGGAAAAACAAAATCGTAGAATTTTTCATAGCTAGCTCCAAAGATTTCCTTGTTGATAGCATTACGAAATAATAGCATCMTTTCAAGTGAAATATTCCTTGATCTTTGATTTAACACCTTTTGAAATAAAGCTTACTTGTACTTGACACTGAACCAACAAGAAGGGGAATCAAAAACGCAGATTTATACTCCAGAACTGTTCTATTTATCGTATTTTTTGAATAAAACGATAGATACTCAGCAGCAAGAGAAAATTTACGGTGTTTTTTCCTTACCTTTCATTGAATAGACGCAACGCTTCAATAGTTTTTGTGGCAGTTTCGCATGTCTTGTTTGAAGTTACTCTCACAGCTTCATCCGCCATGTTGTTTTATAATGTTTGCAAAGGTCTCTGGGGGGCATTCCGAACTCTCGCCGACCTTTAACCGAAATTTGTCCGAACAATAATTTACCTTTTCAAAATCATTTTTTTCTTTAACTTTATCAAGTTTTTTTTATTAAAAAACATATAGTGAAAGAAAGCTAATTTACACCCCATTCAGTGTACATTTTTCCCCCATCACCTAATTCCACAGGTATCCCTATCAGTATAAAATAATAGTTTCCATAGTTCTAAGCTGTTATGCTGCTAGCGATCTTATGTCATTATATATATTCAATATCGACTATATATATCCCTCATATGATATTTTAATTTTTATGTGTATAATTGTTTTAGAAACAAGGTTTGGGATTTTTTATCAGTCGTTGGGTTTCCTGTGTACCGATAGTGATACCGCTGTCCAAAGCCATTGAAGATTCAAAATAAAGATTTCAATGAAAGATGAAAGGCGTTTGTTGAAAATACAAACGGGAAAAATAAGTTTATCTCCAAATTTTACAGCCACTTTCTTGATTTTTTGCGATCATTATGAATGGTCTGAAATCCTTTTTCGGATCTGAGGTAGAAAAGCTCCCTCGAGCGATGAAAGACGACGGTGCAAAAAGAGGCTTATTGTCCAAGTCAAGTCAGAACGGGCAAAATGACAAGCCAAGCTTACGACATACTCTTTCTCTTACTTTTCTCTTTGTGGTGGTAAATATGATCTTAAGAGTGAAAAATGCTTCGTATTTAAGAAAGAGTCGACTTCATGTTTTCTTCCTCTGGTTACAGTCTTTGATGATTTTAGTATTTCTGTGGATATCGAGGAAGAGAAGACGATGGAGGTATGTTTAAAGTGTATATGACACGAAAAAATTTTAATGTTAAAAATGTGTA